TTGCCTTTTATGTTGAAAATACACAGATCTGTTTGCTTTACCTTTTGGCTGTGCCTTGCCGCTTCCTCACCTGATTTGCATTATTTTAAAATGAGTAAAATTTAAAAAGATGTGCTTACTGTCCCAATTTGAATTTGTTGAACTATAGATGCCAGGAAATCAACTACTGGTTTCGCTGTTCTTTAATTCTGAGCGTCAGGATGCCTTGGCAGATCTAGAAGTACCTGCTCTTCTTTTCTAATTGTGCCAGACACTTTCTCTGTTGACCTCCAGCCTTATAAATATGTTTGCTGTACTCTCGCTCATACCTGCTCTCTCTCTCTTTCCAGTTCCTACAGCTTCTCCCTAAAATCTAAGTGCAGACTCAAGAGAAGGATGGGTGAGACAGTCACGTAACATTCCTAACCCACCTGCTACTGCCCACGCACCCGGTTCCCACACCTCCCTTTGCATTCCACTCGCTTCTTGGCCCTCAAGGTCTGGATGATGACAGGCTCTGCCTGTTCTACCTTCCCCAAATCCCACGCGGGGTCACAAGCCTGTGAGGGCGTCTTCCTCCTGCTGCTTTGCTTCTGAGCCCCATTCCTGCCTTGATTTCAAAGTCCCTTCACAGTTTAGCTCCTTCCATCATCCTCCCAGGACCCTGCTGTATTCCTCCAGGCAGGGCTGGTCTCTGGGGACCATGCAGGCTGATTTTTTATTTTCCGTGGCTCTCCTCTCTGAATTCATGTTCTTTTAGAAATACACATGCTTTTAAAATCCAGTCATAGCATCTGTACTTTTGCAGAATTCTTATATCACTGTTTTGTCTCTTTCAGATTTGACAGACACACCCAGGCCACCACACTGACTTACCAGATATTTGGAGGATATCTAAGATCCAGAGGTCAGTTTTTGTTCACAAGTCCATAAAGTGGCGCATGCATGTGGTATCAGAATGAAAATAGTAGAAATAAGGAGAACTAGAGACTCCCTCCCCCTCCCCAGAGGCAGCCCCATACCAGCTCCTAGGATATCCTCCGGGCAGTCTCTTACTCATGAGCAAGCTGAGAGCCAACTATAGAATACGTTTGTTTTTCCTTAACCTTAGTAGTAACCTTTCTATTTGAGCACACAGAGGTCTAACAGGTTCTTTCATAGCTTCAGCCGTGTCCATTTGTTTTATTCTCCTATTGATGGATACTTAGCTTTCTATTCTGTTGTTACCACCAGGGCCTTATTGAACAGCACCCATGTACTCACGCTTTTGTGTCTATGTACAAGTGCACATGACAAACTCTTGGTATTAGAATTTGAGTCATAAGATGTATTTTAAATGTTGATACTGACATCTTATCATTCTAAATGATCATATCAGTTTATATTCCAGCCAGTAGTGTACAAAGAGCGAAATTCGTGAGACACTTTCCTACACTGTAAGATTAACTTTTTCCCCAGTGTAGTAGGAGAAAAGTCATACTTTTCTTTTAATTCTTTTACTTTAAGTACTATTTGTACTCTGTAATTTCAATAGTTGAACCTATCATACTGACTACACTTTGCTTATCTTTTGTATTTTATTTTAATTTCAGTCCAGTGTTTCAATTGCATGGGCGTTTCAGATACTTTTGATCCATATCTTCATATTACCTTGGAGATAAAGGTAAATTTAGTAAGTTTTGTGGTGGTCAAGTTTTAAATCTTTATTACTCTTTGACGTTTCACTTAAGTAATCTTAATAAGCCAGGTTTTTTTTTTTTTTTCTTTTTTGAGACAGGGTCTCACTATGTAGTCCAGGTTAGTCTTAAACTCACTGTGTAGCCAAGGCTGGCCTCAAATTTGTGGCAATCCTCCTGCCTCAGCCTCCTGAGTGCTGAGATTACAGGCATGTGCCACCATGCTTGGCTATAAAACCAGGTTTTGGATACCTATATTAGCAAACCTTGGATGGTTCTTATTTTTTTAGAAATTGGTTTAGCATCTTGCATTTTCTGAACTATATTTTTGTTACTCTTGAGCTTTTATTTTTGTGAATACAGATGTAAAACATGCTTTATGATGAAAAGGACAAACACTGCAGATATATGTAAAGTCTGCCGTCAGGATTAATGCACTTCGTCATTTGATATACATTACCCCAGAATAGATTAGGTACTTTTTATAAAAATGAGATTATGAACCAGGGCATGGTGATGCATGTCTATAATCCCATGACTCTGGGAGACTGAGGCAGGAGGATCACAAGTCTGAACCCAAACCGGGCAACTTAGTGATACCTTCTTTAAAATAAGAATAAGAAAAGGGCTAGAAATTTAGCTGCATGAAAGTGCTGAGCCCGATCCCCAGTATTACAAAAAAGAAAAAAAAAGAAACTAGACCCTTGTCTACCACCATGCACTAAACTAAAGTCAAAATGGATCAAAGGTCTAAATATTAAAGCAGAAACACTAAATCTATTGGAAGAGAAAACAGGTAAAAATCTTGAAGACATAGGTGTAGGCAGGTACTTCATCATAAAACCCAGACCACATGGGAAACACTACAAAGAATAAACAAATGGGATCAAACCTTACTAAAAAGCTTTAGCACAGCAAAAGAAATCATCAACAGAGTAAAAAGATAACCCACAGAAGGGGAAAAATTATAGCCAGCTGTCCCCAGACTAAAGGATTATATCCAGAACATGCAAAGAATTGAAAAAAATTACAGTCCCCAAATTAAAAAACCTAATCCAAAAATAGGCATTGGGGATGATATGCACTTTTCAGATAAAGAAATACAAGTAGCAAATAAATATATGAAAAAATTTTCAACATCATTGATCATTTGAGAGATGCAAATTAAAACAACACTGAAAGACATCTCACCCCAGAAAGACAACATCGCTCCCCAGAAAGAATGGCTGTCATCAAGAAATCAACCAATAGTTGACCAGTATTGCATGTTTATATCTGTTTTCACGAGAAGCCACTTTGAAGATATCAATATGTAATACAACC